TTTCTCTCTTTCTCTCTTTCTCTCTTTCTCTCTTTCTATCTTTCTCTCTTTCTCTCTTTCTCTCTTTCTCTCTTTCTCTCTTTCTCTCTTTCTCTCTTTCTCTCTTTCTCTCTTTCTCTCTTTCTCTCTTTCTCTCTTCCTCTCTTTCTCTCTTTCTCTCTTCCTCTCTTTCTCTCTTTCTCTCTTTCTCTCTTTCTCTCTTCCTCTCTTTCTCTCTTTCTCTCTTCCTCTCTTTCTCTCTTTCTCTCTTTCTCTCTTTCTCTCTTTCTCTCTTTCTCTCTTTCTCCCTTTCTCTCTTTCTCTCTTCCTCTCTTTCTCTTTTCTCTCTTCTCTCTCTTTCTCTCTTTCTCTCTTTCTCTCTTTCTCTCTTTCTCTCTTTCTCTTTTCTCTCTTTCTCTCTTTCTCTCTTTCTCTCTTTCTCTCTTTCTCTCTTTCTCTCTTTCTCTCTTTCTCTCTTTCTCTCTTTTCTCTCTTTCTCTCTTTCTCTCTTTCTCTCTTTCTCTCCTCTCTTTCTCTCAGGGAATCTTGGATCCGATTTAAACCGATTTAAATTGAACTCCGGCATGGATTCAAGATTCAAGATTCCAGTTTCCCTGGAAAAGTTTGGCCTGGATTCTTGAATAATGGAATCTTGAATCCATGCCCGATTTAAGTTTAAGTCGGTTTAAATCGATTTAACTCGAGGCCTGGATTCAAGATTCCCTGGAAAAGTTTGGCCTGGAATCTTGAATCTTGAATCTTGAATCCATAACATGCCCGATGTAAATTTAAATCGGTTTTAAATCGAGACCCAAATTCAACATTGCACTTTGCGCGGCTGTGCTTTGGCACAGTGTTGTGCAAGCATCCAAGTCCTGATTATTCATTCAATCGGTTTCAATCTAGGCCCACATTCAAGATTGTAGGCCAAGCTTATTTATCTAGGGGATCTTGAACCCAGGCTCAACTGAAATTTCAGTCGGTTTCAATGGGCCTGGGCTTGCTTTTGCAAAGAAGACTTGTCTAAAAAAGATTGATTCTTGAATGTTGAGTACAGGCTTGGGTTATCAAATCCTGTTAAAGCTCCAGTTGTATTATATACTGGGAAAAAACTATTTCAACTCGAAATTTCAGATTTGATTACCATTAGGATTCTAACCAAATTTTTGTGTATTGACTGCCAATTAAATCGAGTTCAATTCAATTGAGCGTTTGGCGAGCGTTCGTTGGTGGAGATGTGAATTGAGTATGAAAAACGCTGCGCAACACAGTGTTTCACGGTGTTCTTTGACCATGGTGGTGTTAGGACTAGTGAAAAGACAAGTTTGGGACCTTTCCTTATGGATTCCACCTGATATGTTTTATCAAATTTGACCTAATTCCTGGTTGAAATTCAATAGAGCATAAGAAGGACATACTGCGGCCAGAATTTCGATTTAGATTCGGATTTGAATAACTGATTGTTCTATGTCAGATTAAATGGTACCAATAGAACATTGTGCTTGAAATTCAATCACTTTCAGAACTAGAGTTAGATGGTCTAGTCCTAGTGTGGTGCTAGTCGTAGTTGGGAGATCCTTGGTTCTAGGCATAGTATGGTCCTAGCTTACTGAAATAATTACAACGCATACAGGACACTACAAGGGAAGTTCCTTGCGAATTGTAGGGACTATATAAATGAAGTTCTAGGCAACTGCTAACTGAACAGTAGGATTTTGAATAAGGAAAATACCTTGTCATAATTTACATGTTAAGTTGTTTTTTAAATAAGGAACATATCTAGTCATTTTTTACAGGCTAAGTTGGAATACAAAATATTGGCTATTCTGTTTCAATCCAAATATTCTAAAGGACTTTCCACCAGAATGGAATACTGGACGTCCGAATGCTATAAGAAGTAGAGTTAAACAGTCTAGTCCTAGGTTGGTCCTAGATGAGAGATGCTTGGTTCTGGTGGTAGGTTGCTCCCTAGTTTACTGCAATAATTAGAAAGTATACAGGATATAGAGGATGCTATATTTGAAGTTCAATTTTTGTAAGAATCTGACGTGGGTCGTCTAGTCCTAGTTTGGTCCTAGTCCCAGTTGAGAGATCCTGGGTTCTAGTCTCATTTGGTCCTGGTCCTAGTTGAGAGATCGTTCCTCCCAGTCCTAGATGGGGCGAATCATGCACTGGAGAGGCAGCCAAAAGGTAGGTCCCCAGGGGGGAATATATATATATACATATATGTATGAAATGTATGTATGTATGTATGTAATGTATGTATGTATGTATGTATGTATGTATGTATGTATGTATGTATGTATGTATGTATGCATGTATACACATACAGATCTATACATATATTTCCGCATAATATGTTTGTATACATATACACACATACACACATATATGTATATATATATATATGTACATTCACATACATAGCCCCAAAATAAGCAAGATTAGATTGGATAGATCGATCGATCGATCGATCGATAGATGCACATAGAACAATATATATCTCGAGAATCCTTCCCAGGCAAAAGGCTGGTTCAACCAACTGTTAGGTGCAAGCTAGGTACAGAAGGTTCTGCTCATGAGCGGGAGCCCCTCGGTGCATGAATTCTGGATGCACCTCCTTCTCAGACCTCGGGTGGCTCCTGCATGCAACGCCCAGCGCCAGTCATGCATGTTCCGAGTAGGATGGCAGGTGCCTGCTGTTGTTTGCCAGTGCGAGCTGCATATTGCAGCTGTTGCTGTTCCAACTGGTTTGTGGGGGGGGGGGGAGCGCAACGCAAGACGTCTCAAGTGATTGAATTGCAGGGAGGCGAGCAGCCGGCAGCGCCGCGTGACCGAGGCTGGGCTTGGCTTAAGGATTCTGCTTGATGATGCCGCGCAAGACGATCACCAGAATACCATGCTGCTCTTGCAAAAGCGTATCATGCATGCCCTTTTGGCTCAAGATTTATGCTTGTAGTTGCAGCCTAGATATCGATTGTTGCTCGATAGCATTTCCCATGGCTAAGCTGGTGACAAATCCCCAGCGAGTACAGCAGGTCCTCAGCTATTTGCCTGCAAATGAGGCCTTTGGTGCAGCTCAGGTCTCACAGGCCTTCCAGACAGCCCAAGCATCTCTGGATGCAAGGCCTTATTTGAGTCAAATTCGGCCTGATGCCTGGCTACATAGCAACGACCTGGACGAGGAGTTTAACCGACGATTGCTGCGTGATTGGCACTTGTGCCTAAGGGACTCGGCACTGCAAGCGGCCTATATCGACTACCGCCAGCATCTCATCTATGTGGAGCCCAGCTGCTCATTGGCAGCAGCACCTCAAGGCGCGGATCCTTTTCCGGTGAGCGCGGACAATCAAGACTACCGTTGTTCCATCGAGCCCTTCCACTCGGAGTGCTTGTGGTGGGACTGCCTGCAGGGAGAGCTTTTTGACTGGCCGCGAGAGGCAGACAATTCGGATGCGGCTGATCAACCTGAGTCGGCAGCTCCGCAAGCTGCGGATCTTGCAGGCTACGCGCCCCAGGCCAAGGAAGTGCCGCTGGAAATGCCTTTCGAACTAGAGGCAGTGCCCGGGTACAATGGGAGTCTTGCGGCACCCAAGCTACCGGATGATGTCTTGGCGATTTTGTCCCTCAATGCAGCTTGGTTCCAGTACAGTTTCTGGACGCGCCAACTCCAAGGCATTTTTCTCCTGCGGGATGGCCGCTTTTTACTCGTCGGAAGTAGTGAGCTGCAAGGCACCATTGATTCCCAGGCTGAGGCTTGTGCGTATCGTGGCTTTGTGGCCAACTCACTGCTATCTCTGGTGACCTTTGCCCAAGATCCACGCAGCCGGGAGATCTTACGAACCCGCTTGCCCTTTGGACAAGAGGACATGGCGAAGGATGTGAAGCCAACAGAGCTTACGGTCAACATCCCCCGCGTTGACAACAACAACAGAGAGGACTTTGCAAAACGCTTCGGCCCTTTCTTGCGTGCATCCAAGTCATGTGACAAGGTCTTGTTTAGCACCTTGGAGGTGGACCACGAAGATGGGCGCAAACATCTCAAGGCCGGCGACAGAGTTCGAGTTGTGCGCCGAGGGGATACGTTCATATGGAATTCCTGTCGCTGCTCGGACTGGGCAGCGCCACAGGGAGCTGTTTCACCTCAGCTTGATGCGGAATACCTGGAACGAGCTTCTCAAGAGGATTTGCGCTTCGTGACCTACTCTGGTGGTTGCCACTTGGGATTGCGCGGGGACCGCTGGTATGATGCTGAAGTGGTGCATGTGAATGCTGACGACACCCTGGATTTGAAGTACACGAATCCTAGAGAATGGGCGAATGGAGCATCTAGCTTTTCTGACGGCCAAGGAAGTGACAGGAATGAAGCACCCATCGAAGCCGATGTTGCCATTGAGAGAGCGAAAGTGTGGCCGAAGAGCAGGTGGTACTCGGCTTTTCAAGACGTTTGGGAAGGATGTGGTGGCTTCTCTACTGTCAGCTTGAGCTTTGCAGATGGCGGTGGTCATTCCGTCCGTTGCTTTGCCAACGATAGAATCCAGGAGGATGACAAAGATGGAGAGTCCAAGGCTCCGACTGGCTTCCTGAAGCTGGCAGATGTGTTCGCCGACACTGCTGAGGCACACCGTTTCAGATGCATGACGCTCTTTGAAGAGAGAGAGCTGTTTGCCGGGCAGGACCGGCAATCCATCGAGGAGTTTCCGACAGTTCCAGAGGGCAGATACCCCCGAGGGGCTCACATGGCCCTAAGCAAGCGCCTCTTTCTGCAGCTGCTCCGCACCTCTTTTTGGGAGAAGTGGGTGGCGCAGGGGGGCGAGAGCCCGTCGAAGATCGCGCATTTGTTCAAGAACGACAAGTTCGTGCGATTGGTCATTCAGTAGAGATGTAGCCGGCAGAGACTCGGAGAGAGACTGTAGGCTTAGGCGGAGTCAAGTTGGCTGGACATGCACACGCTCGAGGAGCTATTGTTTTTCCACGCACCCTTTTCCGGCTGCCCAGCAGACGCGGCTACGGCGCGAGTGTCCGTGGAACTTTGGTTCAAATTTGTGTTCTTGTCTGCTTGGAGCTTGGCAGAGCATGTGAACGGTAGACTGATTTCGCTGCACGCGCTGTACAGTGTACAGAACGGGAAAAGAAGGAAAGCGATGAATGCGCATGGTAATGTTGTGCAGGCATAGCAATGTTGCCTTGGTGGCTTGGGTTCTTGGCTTTGTGACAGGATCATCGTTGCACACTTTCCCTTTGTACGCTTGACTGGGGCCTGCTTGCAACGCTGACAGTGAGGTGAGAAGGGCGACAGGCGGGATTTGCCTGTGTCGCATTGGTTTGTTTGCGGCCTGACTGGAATGCTTGCAATCTCAAATTCAATGAGCATGATTGGAGAAATTATGAGCCCCCCTCAAGATTTCGAGGCTGAGTCAAAGGCCCTTTATCACAAAAAAAGGCAACTGGGTGCAGTGGTGGTGTTCAGGGTTCAGGGCCGGATTGTCGGCGCGACTCGCATTTTGTCCGGTTGCGGCCCCAGTCTTGTTGAGCAAAGTGGGTAGCGTGCAAAAGCGCGAAATGGCAGCAGAAGACTGGAAGGACAGCCACTCGTCAGAGCAAGATAGTGTCGTGAACCCTGCAACAGGTGTCCAGTGATTCCAGGTATCCAAAAGAAAAGCTTGTAGCTTGTTGCGTAGGGAAGGCGTGACGAGAATATATTTTTGGATCCCACTTGCAAACCACCTGTGATCAGGGGCTCCTTTTGGGTTTGTTCGGTGGAGTTCAACGCCGTTCTGCCGCAGAAAAGCCGCCGCGACAGTGGCCCCGAGGCAACATCGGGGCCATTGGCAGCGATGAAGACAAGGCGCTCCGCAAGCTGGCAGCCTCGAAGGCGGGAGGGGAATACTTCCGCATCTTTCTTTCTTCCAACTTCCTTCCTTCTCGTTTTTACGGGACTTGGCCAGCAGCTGTGATGGCTGGACTTGTCCTCCTCTGTGCTTCTTCTGCGCCGTTTTAGGTTGACTCCTGCGCCAGGAGGCTGCCTGGGCGGGCGCCGGCAGCAAGCCAGGCATACAGGTGTGGCGAGTGGAGCACTTCCATGTGGTGCCAGTGGATCCTGGCACCTATGGCAAGTTCCACAAGGGCGACTCCTACATTGTGCTGCGGACTGTCGAGAATGACAGCGGCGTTTTGGATGCAAGGAGTTTGTTTCAAATAAATGTACCAAAATGGCACCTTGGTAAATGGAGCCAAAGACTAAAACCTGCGTAACCCTACCTTTTTAATTTTGAGCCACACCCAGGCAAGCTGCTTCACACGATCCACTACTACATAGGCTCACAGAGCACCACCGATGAGAAGGGAACGGCAGCTTACAAGACTGTGGAGCTGGATGATTTGCTGGACGCCTGGCAGGCAAAACCGCAGCGCTGGGACCGTGGACCGGTCGGAAAGCCAAACGCGGTGCACTCTTTGACTCTTTCAGCGGTAAATGCCTGCGACTGAGGATGGGGAGCCGAAGCAAGTGCGAGAAGAGATGGGCAAGGAATCCCCTGACTTTGCAGGGCTTTTCCCAGAGCTGCAGTATCTGGATGGAGGTTCAGACGTTTGCAAAACCAGGCTTACTGCTTGTGTTCGATAGTCCCAACGCAGGGCCCCTTTCCCTTTCTCCTGGCGGCTGATGCCTGATGCCTGCAGGTGTTGATAGTGGCTTCAAGCACGTGGTGCCGGAGGGGCACGACACGAAGCTGTACCAGATCCGGAGAGTAAAGGGCAAGACCACCGTCCTGCAAATTCCTGTGCGGAAAGATGCTCGGCTAATGTGACTGCCTGCGTCTGAAGTCACCTTCCATGAACGGAGTGCCCAGGACCTCATCAATGACTCGGACAGCTTTGTTCTAGATGCCGCGGACAAGATCTATGTCTACGATGGTCCCAAGGCTTCGCCTTTCGAGAAGCGTCAGGCGAATGAGCACGCAGAGCACGTCGAGACCCTGAGGACCGCAGCGTGAAGATGCTTTGGGGCAGCTAGCCTTGCATTCCTTGTGCAGGAGTGGCCACGCACAAGCCACCCACGACATTGATGATGCCTTTTGGGCATTGTTGGCATAGTTCAGCCGGAGATAGGGTCACTCAGATAGCTTTCTTGCCGGAGAAAAGGAGAGAACGCTTGAGGAATGCAAGCCAGCTGTTGCTCAGTGGGCTAAACAGCTGGTTCTGCACGCCCATGTTCAGGCCCGAGCGTCAGGGTGATCGCAGAGAAGAACGCAGAGATCGTGGGGACCGCGGAGGTCATGGCGATCGAGGCCATGGCGATCGAGGCCATGGCGATCGAGGCCATGGCGATCGAGGCCGCAGCAGCGGGCTTGGGGGTGCAGGGGTCCATGATGGGTTGGCAGTCGGGTTTTTGCGGGGCCATGCATGGCCAGGCGATCGCCAGGACTGGCCGCCTCTCTTGCTCTGTTAGTGGGGCTCTGTTTTGCGTGTCTCCACAGGAGCGGCGACGCAGCCGGAGTGGGGGGTCCTATCCCAGTGTAGGTGCTAAGTCGCGACATGGACCGGTCACGGTGCAGAACAGAACGTTCCGTGTGGCCTGCCGCGTCGAAGTTTGCTGAGGTCGGCGGCGGAGCCGAAGCCGCGGCGAAAAGCAGGCGTGTCCCGGGCCATGGCAGGGGATGGTCGGGCGAGTTTGCCACGATTTGGCGCTTGGCTTTTGGTTGGCAGGATAGGCGAGTTTTGGAAGTATGGATCGTCATCTCGAGGCTGCGGCTGCCTGAGCGCAGCGCAAGCAGAGCCGAGTGTCTCACTTCAGATCGACCTGCGCCGCGATTGGGTTGCAAGGGAAACACCTCGCGAGAGATCCAATGCAACCGGCATGGTCCGAAACCCGTGTTCCTCCAGGTTCTGTGGGGCACATTTTCTTTGGCAGTCAAGTATGGCAAGCATCCTTGCGATCAGCGATTTTGGTTGCCCGCCGCAGTTTTTTGGAAAAAGGTGGTTCTCGAGTGGAGTTCCCGGGCCTTGCCTATGGCGCAAAGGGACCGGCCCTCAGATCTCGGGTTGCTTTGTGCAGGCTTTGCTTTACGCATTTCCTGACCCCAGTCTTGCTGCCGCCATGTTAGAGACCCAGTTTGAGGCAGGCTTCGTGGACACCGAGCCCGTGTCGAGGTCTACCCCTCGAAACAAGGCAAAGAACTGCTTGTGGTTGTATCAAGTGGAAGCAAAGACTTTGTTTGGCGAGATCTCAATCGCTCGCTGAGCTCAGGCGCCCAGAAAGTTGGCTGAGCTGCTGGCATCACATGAGGGCCAGGCACGTAGTTGGGATGATGGACTTCGGGGGATGTCATGCCGTCACTGACGATCACCTGGCATGTTGCCAGCGGAAGGTGCATTTTCTCGCCAAGTTCCTGGCGCAGAGGGGGCAGAGTGCCGCGGAAGAGTTTAGGCGTGGTTCTCGACCTTGGACAAGTTGCGGTGGTTTGCAACTTGTTAGGAACAGGCTGAACAAAGGGCAGCCTGTCCGGGCACGTGGCTACCATTTCTCGGGGGAGGCAGGGATGCCGCGCTTTGGAGGGGTGTGAAGTTCGGAACCTTTTGGGACAGGTGATCAACGAGGCGCTGAGAGGCTGGGAGAAGCAGAACCTCCTCAAGAGGAGGTGCTGAAATTCATTGGATTCCGTTGGGTGGCTTGCGTGTCATGCCAAGGAGCCCTGCAGTCCCCAGCAGCTGGCAGCACTGCGAGGTTTTCAGCCAGCAGCCGAGCTGGCTGGCGCAGAGCGGAGAAAGAACAGGTCAGCTGCCGCATGGCTGCATGTTTGAGGCAGGGCCCCCCCAACGCCTGGCCCTTACCGTGCTGTGATGATATGTTATGATGCTGGAGGGTTGAGGGCATTTATGGAGCTGGTTCTTACGATGCACACAGTTCTTCTCAGCATTTGGCTGAAGATGACGGCTTCGAAAGCGCCCAATGCTGGAGGCGTCCGGCAGAACAGTTTGTAGCACCTCCGGAGAGGCAGCGCCAAGCGAGCGAAGTGGGTCTTTCGGATGGTGAGTGCGGCGTAGGCAAGCTGCAGCCCCTACAGCCCCTACAGCCCCGGCCTGGACACCTGGACGCCTGGCCTGCCACTCAGCGAAGCGCCCGGGTGCTGAGGCGGGCCTGCGGGGCTTCATGGACTCGAGCCGCCGGAGGCACGTCGGGCCCTGGGGGGGCCAGCCAGTCTGGCCAGAAGTTTGTTTGTGAGGACCTTGGGTGGAGAGACCGATGAGAACGACAAAGGCTCCCTGACAAGGTCGGCGGTATGTTGATACGGCCGCTGGGCAAATTTGATGCCTAGGACCTGGATTGAGATGGCACAATCTCGCTGAAGCCTCAGCTGATTTTTCCAGTATTCACCTACAACCCTTGCAAGGGTATCATACTCAGGCATCTCTTGTGAACACTCCCGTGACTTGCATCAGAACATGCCCGTAAAGTCAAGTTGCGAAGTCACATCGTTTTTGCTGAAGTTTTGCCGCACCGTAGTATTGGGGAGAGGCGTGGGGGCAGTCGCATCGATTTGCTTTATTTAGGTCATGATTTAGATGCAAACAAATGCCAGCAGCACTTTTGTCCAGGGCGCTCCTCAACTTCTGGTGCGGGCTCTCAGCAGAGCTTCCTGTGCTCATCAGTTGCGATACTGGCCGTTTCCTTCACATTTTGACATTTTGGAGGGCTATTGCCACAGCAGCAGGCTTTGCAACAGGCGACGTGCATGAGCGAGAGAGATCTGGCATTGTGTGAGCTGTCTTGGCCCGAAGAGACAGGAGGGCCAAGATTGGATTTAGTATCGCATGTGACTCTCTTCATTTGGAGGATGGCGTCCTTTGGAAAGGGGGTTATGAGAGGACTGCTTGGGTTTTGGGTTTCGTGCGGGAACTCCCCTTTTTGGTGGCTTTTGGCTCGTGAGATGTGCGATCCGCAGGATACAACTCCTACTCGGTGGGCAGCAAGAAGTCCAGCGCCCTCCGTGGCAGGATAGAGGGAGATGATGTGGATGTGGACATGGACTTTTCCTCTGCGATAGAGGCCCGTCTCGTTTTTTCTTGTTCTTTTTTTTTTGGGGGGGCTGAGGTCTCAGGGCTCGCCGCTTCTTTTTTTCTTCTCCTTGTGTTTATAGATAACTAAATCGATGATTGAACAGCTCAGAATAGATGAGCAGACAAACAAAATAGATTTAGATAATGCACGCGTTCGAGGCCGTTTCAGGCCGTTTCAGGCCGTGGCCGTTTTTGGCCGCAGGTGGACCTTGCCACAGGCCTCGGCACGGGAGTCCAACGCGACTCCTTCGGCTTCGGCTCGCACTCCGCGGCGGTGCGGCGCAGTGCCTTGGCTCGAGGAAACAGATGCGCCACGTGCTCAAAACCCTCTGGTAGATGATCCGGTTATGGGTAGACCATTTTCATACCTGTGGGTCAACAATGCGTACCCAAAATGGTTGCCCTGGTGAATAGAACCAAAGACTAAAACATGGGGTCCCCTGGTGTGGCTGGTCAAACCGTTTTGGGATCCCATTTTGGTTGGGTGAACTCACCACCCAGTTTAGAACCTATTTTAGTGGTTGGATAGGGATGTTCACTGGGGGCTAACCGGGATTTTGAGCCACAGCCATGTAAGTTTGAGTAAAGGTTTTTTACATAAAAGGTTCAATGAAAAGATGTATTGCTAGGCAAGTGCCACTGATCTTCTTTTGGGCTTCAAGATGCAGCCATTGTTTTGCGTGGCAGCCAGGGTGCACGCCAAGGTGGGAAAGCAGCCAGCTTTCAGCACACAAACCACAGTGTGGCCAACAACCGCATGCAGACTGTACAAGGCCAGGGGCAAAATGCTACAAGTCACATGAAAAGTTCTTTTTTGCCCATTTGCGGTGCTCAGCTAAAGAAGCCTTTGATGTCCCACTTCGCTTTCTATGGAGAGGGGCGGCAGGCCTAGAGCAGATGCCGTTTGACCACCAGATTCGTGGCATGCGGTGGAAGGCCTGGGTCGAAAGCCGCAAGCAGACCTTTTTTCCATGTTGCGGCTCGCCACCCCCACGGCCTGGTGCAATCCTTGCGCGGTTGCCACAATATTTTGCACCAAGAGTGTCAGCGTGGGTTTTTTCAGCTTGCGTGAAGAGTGCAGGTGCCTTGTGATTGCAAGAATGCATGGCTCTGTTCTCTCGAGCGCTTGTACCTTTCTGTCAGCGTTGCAACAGTTTTGCGTGAGTGAGGGTGAACTGTCCTTAGGCAGACTCAGATGGCTCGGTTGCCAGTCCTCCCCCGTCTAGTGGCTACGCTTCTTTCCTCATCGATCATGCTCCGCGCCTGAATCATGAAAGGGAAAGACCCTTGGTCACTTCCGTACTTGTGTCTCACCTATTTGATGCAGGTCTCACTGTGTTGGGGGCCGGCTCGTTCGCCTTGCAGTCGCTTTGGTTGCCCTCCTTTCACCTAAGGAAACCTTTGTGGGGGACCTCACTTCTAGCTAGTGACGCCAAGTTTGAACATGGCCCTTGGCACGTTTCAAGCGGCAGGGGGATGGTGTGTGCTGCTTCATCCTCGCGGGCTCTGGCGGCATCGATGCCTTTCGGGCCTCCCGGGTGCTGCCGCACCTCCTGCACCTGAGTACTTTGAGCTCAGGGCACTTGGGGCAGGCAGACCTTGGCGGCTTCCGCGCCTGCGTCCTCCTTTGTGCCTTGAAATGCGCAGGGCGTTTTCTCTTTGGCTGAGGGGGTGGGGCTTTTGGGGCATTGGGGCCCCAATCAGGTTGCGGGCGGCATGGTTCTTTCCAAGGTGACCTGATGGAATGGCCAGCCTCCGAGCAGGGTGCAGAGGACCTCTTGGCCGCGTGCAAAGAGCTCGCGTCCAACGGCTCAGCCGTGGCCGTGGTGGCCGTCTTTTTGTCTCCCATCCCTGGAGGTCCAGACAGAGATGCCGTGTCCACGCAGGCGCTGCATAGTGCAGTTTTGGCCGCTGGCGCGGACTGCGTGCTCTTCTCCTGTCCCACCCACCCGGTGACGTTTCGGCACCTCCAGGCGGCCATCCAGGGAACCGAGGCATGGCATGAGAGGATCGCCGAGGCCATCGAAAGCGCACAGGCAAAGCTTGCCAGAGCGCAAGAGCAGCGTTGGCAGAGGCATTACCAGATTGCTCTCCGCAAGATTGTGTGGAAGGCGCCGCAGACGGTCTTCCCCCACATCCCACAAGAAGATGCGCAGATAGATGAGCGAGAGGATGGAGTTGGAGACTACTCCTTTGTCCGGGTTATAGGCTCCGGAGCCTTTGGAAGTGTCTTTCTGGGGCGCCACCCTAGGCTTGGAGACGTGGCAGTGAAAGCCATCAAGAAGGCCTCAATCAAGAATGTCTTTGATTTGGCCAAAGTTGAGCGTGAGCTCAGTATCCTCATGGGCGTGTTAGACCACCCAAATGTGCTTCAAATCCTCTCCTGCTTGCACAGTGCGAAGCCAGACTTGAGAGCTGTACCGCTTTTGTGAAGCTTTGCTATTTCACTCGGACATCCAGAGCACCTTTCTGGGCCACATGGGCCGGTTTTGAGTGGAGTGCCCAGGAATAACCTGTACATTGTGATGGAGTTCCTTGGGGAGTATACGTTGCACACGTACCTGCAGCTGCGGCAAACTGGATCGGCTCGAAATGTTTTAATGCTTCCTTTCCAAGAGGCTGGGGTACATGTTTGCATGTTTGGTGTGCGCTTTCCATGCGAGGGGTCGCCACGGTCTGTCGCTGGCGGTCAGACATCCAGGTGCAGAGTGTCTTCGGAGACATCCTGAAGGCAATCGCACATTGCCATGCGGCGCATGTTTGTCACCGTGACCTGAAGCTTCCCGGCGCAAGTGGAGTGAGCATGTTGAGATGCACATGCAGGCTCAGCAATGTTAGCATGTTTAGCATGTTACCCCTCAAGCACGCTTGCTTGAGCGGTCAACGCATGGTTCTTGTTTGCTTGAGCTCCAGGACGCATCTTCCAGGGATGCTTGAGGCCTTTCTTCGGGCCGTGCGAAGCCCGAAGCCCGAAGCCCGAAGCCGGAAGCGGTGCGAAGCCGAGGTTCAAGAACATGATGATCGACGCCAACAGCCGGGTCACCATCGTGGACTTCGGCCTCGCCGTGCAGGTGGCGCCCGGCCAAGAGCTCCACGACTCCTGCGGGACGGTGCCCTTCGCAGCGCCCGAGGCGCGCAACGGAGCAGAAAGCGCTTCGCGCTTAGGGCTCGAAACGGGACTCCCAAGATGGTTTCTTCTTCCACAGGTCTCCTTAAAATATACATTTTGCAACCATTTGAATCGTGGCTTTTTCCACCAAAATACAGGGAAACCACCATTTACAAGGCAATGCTCAGGTGTATATTGCATCCGGATCCCTGTTCCCAGTGGGGTGATGGCTTAGGTGATGAGGTGCAGCTCGACAAAAGGCTACGATGGCACTTATGCAGACACCTGGAGCATCGCGGTGTGTCTTGTAGAGCTGCTGTGCGGCCTCGGCACCGTGGAGAGTTGCCGGGCTGCATTTCACCGAGAGTGTTGCGGACAGGTTCCACTTTCTGACTACCCTAAACCTAGGGGTGGGTCATTTGCCCCCAAAAGGGAACCCTGGGTTTAAGTCTACTTGACCAGAACATGTACCCACATATTCAAAAGAACAACATATCTATAAGAAGAAATTGGCAAAACAAAAACACCCACCAACGTTTTGAAGACAACTTGCGCATTGTGATATGTAAGCCTTTTTTTATTTTTAAAAAATGGAATATGAAGAACGGCAACAACAGAACAGTCAAACATAAGAAAAGAGAGAAATCCGACCCCCAGCTTTGCCAGCTGTATACTGTATTACATCGGGAAAATATTGTGGATGGAGATGATTTTGGAAATGTAAATGAATATAATACAGTTTTTGCAGTAATAATTAAAACAATATAAATATATTTTCAAGATTCCTTTTTATTCATTATGATTAAATATCTACATTCACTCACAACAAACAAATCACATAGGAAAATATTCTTTAACATACATAGTACTATATATATATATAATGTGTGCAGAACTGATTTTAAAACCATTTTGGGGAGCACTTCTCCCCTACTAGGTCGCAGGATTGCCTGTGCGTTGATCCGGCTAGGCATTATTGGGCTGACACCGGACGATGAGAGCAACTTCGAGCACATTGCCCAGCAATGCTTGCTGCTTTGCACTGACTATGTGCATCAGTTGGTCCTGTCCTATGCTGGCAAGGCGGCACACATGTATTATGCGGCATCTGCCATGTGATCCGCCTCTTTCGAGAGTATCCAGTTCGCGTTTTTGCGGCCAGGACGTGCAGGGTGTGCATCGCAATGATTTGGTGAAGACAATGCGCGGAGTGTTCCGAGAGAACCTGAAGAGCCGTATGACGGTTCGGGACATCGGGGCCCTGGAAGCCTTCTCAGCCAAGGTGGGCACTAAATAACACACTCCCCTCCCCTCAGCCTGGCAAACATTCGCAAACATTCAGGGAAACCAAGCATTCAAATTCGTTTGGGCTGCAGAGTGTGGGGCTTTCGCAATTCCAGGCCGGCCCCTTGCCCAAAGTTCGGAAGCACCGTGGCGAGAATGATGACGACGAGCGCTCCTCTTGGACCATGTCGCAATATTCGGCGGGGCCAAAGAGCGGAGGCGGCTCCAACCAAGACGCAGAGGAGAGGGTGTGCACCCAGTGGCATGTGCGGGTTGCAGGTGCTGGCAAGCTAGCTCCACAAGGTATTCTTGCAAGTTCCAAATAGAACGGGCCATCACAAACCGCAGGAGACATTGTCAGACTTGCCTCCTGTCTGCAACAAGGCATTGTGCACTTGACATTTCTTAGCTGCAACTCCCTCACTTTGCATACGGAATCGTGATGCCAAGAATTAGATGTGGGTGGTAGGTCGGTTCAAGACTGGATGGGTCCCGAAGTTGGCGACCTACGACCTGTGCAGCCCTTGCTGGAGCGCATAGGCGGGATTTGTGCACTTGAAGCTCTGGCATACGTTGCGCACCTCGCCTTGGCAACGTCTTGTGAACAAGCGCACCTTAAACTCATGCCGTGCAGGTGGGTCTCAGACAGTGGTGAAGGTTGTCAGCACTGTCTATGATTGGCTGCTGCCGCGGCCAGAGTTTGGCCGCTTTTTCCTTGCATGCCCGTTGAATCTCAACTGCATTCTCGTTTGTGGCAAGGGGCGCGGCGCATGCCATCCAATTTATTGAGTTCTTTGTACCATTCAGTTCATGCCGCCATGCCAACCAGCGCAGCCATGAACCTAGGAAGATGGGACGCATCCGTGCTGGCATCAGTCTCTTGGCCAAAGCTGATTGGTGCCAGACAAGGCATGTAGCAGGGCAATTGGGTCGCTTGAAGAAGTCCTTGAAGCGAAGTCTTCATGTTATTTCGCCATCCTTGCGTGCTCAGGTCCAGTTTTCATTTTACCCAGCCGGAAAGCGCTAAAAAGGTAGACATCGTTTTACTGCTTTACATTCTTGCCGTTTTACTGGCTCAGCAGCGCGTACCGCCTGGTAAAGCCGTGTTATTTTTCTCTGCCCCCCCCCCCCCCGGTTTGCCGTTTACCGTTTTACTGGCTTAGCAGCGGGTTGACGCTAATCCGTGAAACCTTTTTCCTTTGTACCATTTTACCAACTGGTGAAACCGTAAAACCGCAAAGGGCCAGCTTCCGCTCGCGGAAGCTTGATGAAGGGGCCCGGACCTCACGACCATGCGTGAGAAAGGATCGGGGCATTGGGAACGCTTGGAAAGAGAAAGACCCCTTCTCATTCATTTCTCTTCTTTGCTCTCTTTTTCTTGTCCCAGCTTACCCAATAATTTTTTATACGGCGGAGACATGAGAAATGAAGAGAGAAGATGTCACAGATGAATGGCATGGATCCACTCACTTCCCTCCACTGGCAGTCTTCATTTGCTAGAAAGGGCAAGATGACTGCCAAGCCTTCCTTCGTCGCCGAAGAGAGTTGAAGGACGTGGATGAAGGTCCCTCCAAGAAGCGCCATGGGGCATCCGTCAAAAAGCGGCATGGGCTCCTGCGCGACAGGCCCTCTTCCCCGGCTCTCATGGCCTTGGGCTGAATCGCCGAAATTTCCGTCGGACTCCAAGCCTGGTATATTGCCAACAGCCCCATTGCTTCTTCGCTGTCAACCCCCAAAAAATCCAAAAACCTGAGCAGGACCTAAGAACCCAAGCGTTGCAGGACGCAAGTTGGACCCCGGACCAAAGAAACACACCTAGTTGAGCCGCAAGAGGCGCCTCCTTTACTGAGAGCCCTTCACTTTTGCGAATGATACATCGGTTCCCCGCTGGTAGGATGGGTTTACCGATCCAGGGTTCTCATTTGACCCCCCTCCAAGTTCTGCGAAGTGCTTGTTGCCACGCACCAAACCCTGAAGTTGCCTTAGCCGGCTCGCCGCTGGCCTTGGGCAATTTGCAGGAAGAGCCTCATGGCCCCCCGGAGGGTTTTTGGAGGGCCGCTAGATCAACGCTTCTTTGCATTGTGCCGTTTTGACAGTTTCACCGGGGGAAGCAACAAAACATGTTTTTCTTCTTGGAGGACGCGCTAAGACCGACAAAATCGCCTCCCCAGTGCTGCATGCATGCCCTTCATTCATGGCTTTGCATGCTTGGCATGCACTTGCAGGCTCCTTCCTGACGGAGCTGCTGGAGGATTCCGACAAGGCGGACCTGGAGATGTTGTCCAACGTGCATTGGAACCTCGGCGTCTCGGATTTCCTCTTCACCGACTTCGCCGATGCCTTGCTGGAGGCCTTCCGGACCTGGGGCTCCCGAGGCGCGCGCGGACGGACGGAGCTGTGGGGTGAATGAAGGTGCTTGGACATGTGGCCATGGGAAACCAACAGGATCCCATGTTGGTTGGTAGGTGAATTCACCCCTTTACAACCTATTTTGAACCTATTTTAAGTGGGGATTGGGAGGTTCACAGGGGGCTAACCGGGATTTTGACCCATGGCCATGTCGGAAACATGGTTGGCGTTTGGCTTTGCAGCTTCAGTTTGCCAGATTGCCTGAAAAGAGCCGAGCCTTTGCAGGAGCCATTGCTTCAGGGGAAGAAGTCTTTCTTTGGGCTGTCAAGAGGCTTGATGCTGCCTATCTTTTTTTAATACTGCTCTCACTGTCCGGCTTCATTTTGAGCCTCTCCCCCTGCCCTTCCCCCCTATCACCAAGGCATTTAGGAGCTTCCATGCGTTGTGAGTCGAGCCAAAAATACGCTCAACGAACGCTGAAGCTTGGATCATGTGGCTGTGGCTCAAACCAAAAAAAGAAACGGTGCCAAAATCAAGCTTGGTAAGTGGACACATGGTTGCCAAAACCTGCGGTTTGCCCCTCCGATCGTTTAATTTTCAGCCGTGTGGAGTGCCCTCTGCTTCTGGGCAGGTGACAGCGCCATGGCAGAGATCCAGGCTGCCCTGGAGAAGGTGCGGCTGCCGATCACCGCAGGCCACCGGGCGCGGCTTGCGGCGGCACAAACCGACCGCTGTCCGCAGGCGCGCTTTCCTGGGAAGCACCGAAACACCCCCCCTCTTCCCGAATTGGGAAGCAATTTCATATTTGGTGTTTGCTCAGACATTGGGCTTTGACATTTCCAAGTCGCTCTGCCAGTAGTGTTTTCTTGCAGTGGATATGCGGCATTCGCCTGGGCTGTCACCCGTCACTGGGCAGGAGATAGTTTGGCTTGTGAGCAGCCTTGACTGCTCCGCGGATGACTTTGCGCATGGTCTTTCGGATCTCCTCACACAGGATGCACGCCTGGAGGCGAGATAGAGTTGCGAATGCCCTTTGGCCCACGGACGTTCGCGACATTTGCAGCTGCATTCAAATCGGGCTGGGGTTGTGCTCGTTTTCCGTGGGTGCACTCTGCTTGGACAGGCCTGCTTGAACGACGAAAAGCGGGGAGAGAACATTAGTTCCGAAACGCTGGTCAAATTCTCAAGGACAGCTGCGCAACCACCCTTTCCCCCCCCCCCTTCCCTGATTGTCAGAATGCCGGCGACTCATGCTGGCTTTGCTGTGCCGCTTTCGGATACAGTTGCCTGTCATCACTTTTGCTTGGCAGCATTTTGCGCTTGGCTTTGCGGTCTGTGCAGAGAGGTAGCCTCATGGGGCTACCCGCCTGTTAAACAACGTTGCCGATGCTGCGTTGATGCAGGAGCTTCTGGCAGGGTACGATTGACACTGCCATGGAGGCGTGTGGACCGGGGAGAGCAGAGTGTGTGTGTGTGTGTGTGTGTGTGCGGTGTGAGAATGGCTGTCTCTCCAGCAGGCGTTTCTTCCAGCAAGGGAAACTAGTATTGAAGACCTCAATCCATCCTTCCTCCTTGGCAGGAGGTCTTCTTCGGCGAGTCGCCTCTGTTCCAGCAGGACATTGGTGCAGTCACCCTCTTCTGTGAGAATGTTCGGCAAGTGCTGAGTGAGACAGGCCGGCTGGGCATTGCCCTGTGGGATGCCGTGGGATGCTGTGGGATGCTGTGGGATGCTGTGGATGCTGTGGGATGCTGTGGGTGGGAGTATTGGGGGGGGGAGTAGAGCGCTGTGGCGCAGAAAGCAGTGTGCCACGCGTTTCTCTTGATTCTGGTAGTAAGGGGGACTTGGGCGCTCGAACCCCATATATCGGAAGGCGCATGCTGCCCCCCAGCGCGCAGCAACTTGTTAGGGACGGGCACGCCATCATGACCATTGCTGCTGTACACTTGGAGATGTTTGAAGCTGTGCCAGGCATGGATGACAACGATGCCAAGGACGTCCAGGTGGGCGTTGAGAGTTGCTGTGTGACCTGCTGATTTGGCTCGGCGAAAAGCGACCAGGTGCTCATGGAGCATTCCGGGGAGCTGGTGTTGAACCGAGTCCGGAATGCCAAGCTGGTGCAAGCTCCGAGCTGTGCACATGACGTGCACTGGTTTAGAAAGGTGCTCATGGACCTCTGCAAGGCAAGTTCCTGAGCTACAGTCACGGCAAAAGGGACAATGCTGCTAGAAACGGACTTTTTGTACAGCGCCTAGAAGATTTTCAATACGAGCTTCTGGTTTGTTTGCCTAGTTACGTATTGAAAGCACATTCGATATGTGAAGTTGCGCGTGCCAGTGTAGACAAGGAAGAGTCAGCTAGAGAGCAGCTGGAAGGGAAGGTGAATCAGCACCCCCCCCCCCTGTTCAGCCGCACTTGCAGGCCGACCCCTTCTTGCAGTTCTTTGCTGACAACCCGAAGATGGAGAACTGCATCTCCTCCATCTTCAAGCTGATCATGAACGGTGGGGCGCCCCCTGCGGGCGTGAACTTCTCGAGCAAGTTGCGGGGCGCGCACCAGGACCTGTACCTCACAGATGCTCGCTACAGCGCCTTTGTGGCCCACATTGACAAGGTGCTGCGGGCGATGTTTCCGTGGCCGGTGCACCCCGCCGCCGTGGCCAGCAGCAACATCCGCTCCTTGGAAGGCTTCAGGACGGAGGTCCTCTGTGGCAGCACGCTGCGTAGTTCGCGGCTGCAGGCCGTGGAGGGCATGCTGAACTCCAGCGCGGATTCCAGCAAGCAGCGGGTGGCGCGCAACGCACGCCGCGGCCGCGTGATGGCCGCCATGCAGAGGTGCGCCACAAAGCTGTTCGAAGCCATAGCATCTGACAATCGCGTGTCGGTGTTCTTCCGAAATACGGACCCGGCATGCAAGGATCGCAAGGCCAGATACTTGGGCTGTGCAATGGGAGGCAACTTGCCAACAGTGCAAAGCTCTCCTTTGGTCAACAGCGCGAAAAGCCTAGACAGCACCACAGCCAACTCTGTTGGTTCCCCCCCGTCTTCCACTGCTTCCGCTGCGGTAATTACCCCGGCCTCGAGCCTGAAGCAGCAGCACCTGCTTTTCCGCATCACCGATTACCACTTTGATGTGTTTCTGGATCACGTGCGGCGCGCGCTGGCGGGGGAGGACCCTGAGGCGCGGAGTCCTTGGCGTTTTCAACCTTCCGGGGGAAGTTTTTTTTTTCTCCTTCTGGGGATTCAGTCTGAATCTTCTCTTGGCTGAGTCCTTGAGGCGGCCGACTTGGCCCCCGCCCAGCTGGAGGCCTTGCGGCCCAACGTGGTGCTGCAGAGTCGGACCAGCTGCCCTGCCACGGGCGCCGCCTCGGGGGCCAGGGGCTGCCCCTTCCGCCGGGTCGTGGACGGCGGCGCGCCGCTGCTGGAGAAGGTGGGCGGCACCGAGGAGATCGAGAAGATCTTGACGCACATGGAAAGGGAGGCGGGCACTGGGATTTTGGGGATATTTTCACGGGGAAGAGGCCGGAAGAGCGGCCGGAAAGCAAGAATCCAAGGGGCCTCGGAAGAAGCTGGGAGCTTGTAGCTCGGGTGTTTTGTCCAGGCGGCGTCCTCGCCGGTTCTGGTGCCCTTCCTGAACGGCCACGAGAGCCTCCCGTGCCGCACCAAGATCCTGGAGCTCTTGGCCGATGCCGCGGCCGGCGACAACCTGCCACAGTTCCAGCCTGACAAACTTCAGGACTGAGAGAGTCTGTGCTGTGGGGTGTGTTTTGAGGGTACCCCGTGTTCCCTTTTGAAAGCCGAAAGGAAAGCCTCCATTTCGGGGGTTACCCCCCATTTTAGTGACAAACTCGAGTTATGCCTCGGAGTGAATGTAAGGGTGGTCTTTCGATTTCAGACATTGACCCTAACATACAGAACAAGGCAAAACAAGGCATGAGAGATGCGATAGGATAAGATCAGATAGACAGATTGACCAAATCAGGCAGACAGGCAGACAGGCAGACAGGCAGACAGGCAGACAGCAGGCAGCAGGCGGTCGGGCGGCAGGCAGACAGAGGCAGGCACAGAGGCAGAGGCAGAGGCAGAGGGAGAGGGAGAGGGAGAGGGAGACAAATAGGCGGATACTTGTAAAGGAAGGAAGGGAGGGATGGATGGACGGACGGACGGAAGGAATGGAGGGAGGGTGGGAGGGAGGGTGGGAGAGATGGATGTGATGGATGGATGGATGGACGGACGGACGGACGGACGGACGGAGGGAGGGAGGGACGGACTGTACAAACATGTATGTGTATGTGTGTATATACAGATCCTTGCACACATACATAGCTGTGTGCATGTTTTACATGCCTGCGCATTTCTACGTGCCTGCTTTGACATGTGAATCCCCGCATGTGTACGTACACTTGAAGACTAGCATGTTGGAAGTCTAGGTGGCCTCTGGCATGGTGTGTGGTCCGCAAAAATGCAGACCTTGGCAGGAGGCGCACAGCCATTTGCGGCTGTTACCGGAGCATTGCGAGATGTGGCTGGGATGCTTCAACCGCAGCATGGTGGCCCACATTTTGCCACCAGAGGTTGCTAGGAAGCTGCAGAACTGCTTTCATACCCTCACCTCGGCTCTTCTAGAAAGAATGCCCAGGATGAAGTCCGACGAGGCTGGGATACATGAACAGCCAAAAAACCAGACACCTTGTCATGTTTGTGACATTCGCCTTTCAGGAGGATGACTCGAATCTTATGCATGAGGACAAGCCGACTCTAGATTGGGGCAACCTGCAGGGCCTTATAGATGAGCTGGAGGGTGAGAGTGGGCTGAGCAAGCTCATTGAGATGCTTGGCAGATGGAATTGTGGCAGATCTTTTTAGTCACACGCGAAAAACTGTTCACGCTAGCTTTGGGGGGGGCCAAGTCGTAGTGCGCGCCAAATCGTGCTTGCTTCCAGGAGTTGGTACCAGCACATCAGCGAAGAGCCGCTGATCAGTGTTTTTTTCACAGGGACGCGGCCACAGGTCATGATGTTCCAGACGAAGTTTTGGAAAAAGGTGCTGCGGGAGGGCCTGCATCCTGATGGCCGGAGGCAGATGCAGATGATCCACATCCACCAGCACCTCCGCATCACCCACACGCACTTCGATTGCTTTGTGCGGTGCTTGCTGGCGGCTTGCGAGGCTTTGAGCTTGAGCCAGGGCTCTTCGAATAACATGAGGGCTGCGGTGGAGTGCTTTCGCCCGCACATCGTCACAGAGAACTGATGGAATAGGCTGTGAGCGAGCGAGGAATGATGGCTCTTCGCGCTTGTGAAGGGGCGCGCTCCGCTCTGGCAAGAGATCACGTGTCACTCCCAGCCCGAAGGGATCACTCAACTTAGCTGCGCAAAGATACATGCGCCGGGTGTGAGGGATTGGCTGTGATAGTCGCGTTGCAAGAGCAAGAGCCAAAGCTGTAGTTTAGGGGATGTCGCAATTTGCCATCAAAGAAAGCCATGCCTATCAGTTGCTAGGCCAATATTTTCGCCTTTCACCATGGCAATCCCCGGAGAGCGTTTTTTGTTTGATCCCGGGCTCTCAAAGAGGACGTCGAGTCCTTGTAGTGCCCTGTCTCATCCAAGGTGTTCGACCCAGCAAAGCAGAATGAGTGAAAAGCTGCTTATAGCTCCGAGGGTTCCGGTGATCCTCTGCGCGAGACAGCTTTTTGATTGAGGCGAGCCTGGAGAGTGGCACCGGCTCGCGGTGGGAATGGGGCAACTTGCATTGCGCTTCGGTCCGAGCACGAAGGCAAGTACCGAAGCGGGGGCACTTGCCAGGTCTTGTTCCTCTCCATCGCGAGGCATCAGTTTGCCCGCACCGTCGCCAAGCTTTTAGTTGTTCTTTGATAGCTCAGGGCAAGCATTCGTCCGGAATCCGCAGGCCTTGGAACATGAGCAGACCATTGCCGTATGATCTCGCCAGGTTTGAGCACGCCTGAGAAGGCTGGCGCAGGTTCTTCGTTCACATTTAATTTGACGTAGTGCAAACAAAAAGCCAAGGTGAGAAAGCGCGTTCTGAGGGTATGTCTATGGGTCAAAACCCAAATCCCAGGTTCTAAAATGGGTGGTGAATTCACCAATCCCAACCAAAATAGGATCTCATTGGTGACCCACGGCCATATGAGTGCTGAACACTATCCACCTGGAGCTGAGAAAATTTTGGTGTGTGGGAATGCTGCGCAAGGCACAGACCATGAAGCTGGAAGCGCGCCGGGGCCCATGGCCTGCCATGCTGTCCTTTTTGTAACATCTTCCTCGTGGACCCCCTTTAAAAAACAGCGATTGTCCTTTTGGTGTCGCTTGTAACAGCACCAAGAAAAAGGGTACCAACTATAAACAAGACCCATGCTGTGGGTTGAAGCCGTGTGAAGGTCGCTCTGAGTCCAAGCAACCACAGAGCCGACGGAGCTCGCCGGAGCCCCGGGCGCTGGAGAGAGATACGCCGAAGTGTCACCTGCGAAGGCTGCAGTGTCAGTTCGTCGTCCGCTTGCAACATGTAGCCTGAGATGAATGTGGGCAGTTGTTCGATCGAAGTTGTGTGAGCAATTTTTTCGGTTTGGGGTCCGATTCCGTGTGCGTGCCTGCGTGCGTGAGTGTTTATTTGTGTAGTGGTGTATTTCTGTATGTTCGTATTTGTGTGTTTGTCTTTGTATGCATGTCACGTTGCCAGTTGGCTTGAATTGGAACGGAGGTTGATGGAGCGTTGGATTCGCAGATTCGCTTGCATTGGATTCGCAGATTGCTGTAGGCTTTTCCGGGCGTCTTGCTAGGACCGCGGGCGTTCCCGGACTCAGGTCGCCGCCGCGGAAGCGCCGCGCCGTGGAAAGGGCCCGGGCCCCGCAGTGGCACACGGGCGCCCTGAAAGATGCGACGTGGATTTGTGTTGCAGATTCCCGTGGGTTTGTATGTCTGAAGATTTTGCTGGTGAAGAGTTTGCTAGGCTGATGTTGGTCGGCCGCCATCGATGTCAGAGCCTGGCGCCTAAAGATGGCCTCAGCGAGGCATTTCCGGCGAAGGCTCGCCATTTTTGAGAACCAACCTGTGCAAGATGTAGGCCGTATCCTGAACCCAGCCCTGGCAGGGAGGTGCGGCTTTTCCAGTTTTGGCCAGCCAACAGTTTTGGCCCGTCGGCTTGCAGGCAGAGCAGGCAGAAGTGCCAGAAAGTGTGAAGGAGCTCAAGGCGCGCTGCCCTGACTGCTGATGCTTCAGAGTCATTGCCGGACCTCCAGGCTCATTATCCAAGTCACAAAATGGGGTTGTTTTCCTTTAACCTACCACTTACGGGGTGACTTTGATCATGGTAAAATAATGAGGCCAGCTGGCGCTTTCATCAGAGACTGATCCGCAGCATCGGCTCAGCCGAGGGTACAGCACAAGAGGTCCTTGACCATTTTCCAAGCATTTTTCCGCAGCAGCGTCAGTGTGTTCGCTTTCTCTTGGCTTTGCGAAGCTTGCTGCCTTGTGGCCTGCAGATTCTGCGTGCCAGCAGCTTAGAGGCTTAGAGAGCCGCATGTCAAGTGTTCGCCGGGGCACCGCTTGAGGATGTCCGTCACGCCGGACCCGCAGATGGATGAGGCGCCCGTTCCTGCTGTGCGAAGCTTGACGCTTTGCATGGCAGGAAGAACAGCTGCTACCACAAAGCTTGGTACCAGGAGATGCGGCTTGGGTGCCCTTTCGGCCGCTATGAGCCGAGCAATGGGCACGCCCGCGCCAGGACAAGACTTCCACAAATGGCAGGGCAAGCGCAGGTGAGTGGGTGTTTCGTCGGGGGGGGGGGAGGGGAGGTTGACTGTGCACAGTCATGGTGAGCCAATGCGAATGGGATCAGAAAATCAGATGGGCCTAAACCGACAGAAGCTCCAGACAACTTTCCTCACATCAGCACAAATAAGGAGGCGATAGGGGCAAGGATGTCGTATCTCACGCAAAGGGAACATACCTTGTTTGTACTCCGCGTGACCGGTGTGTTGCTGCATTCCCTTTCAGCCCAAATGGTATTTATACTGCGGGTGCCAGAACGGGCACGCCGCATCCTCGTCCAAATGGGCTCAGCCTGTTGGAGAAATCAGCATGAAAATCGACACTCATCGCCGGATCAAGTCTGAATCGTCAACAAATTGTGAGTGCCAGCGTTCTCGCCAGCGTATCATTGGTCACATATGCCTATCCCTATCTCATTGAACTTTCAACGGCCTTCTTGTGACGGGAAACGTGGGTGCCTGGGAAAATGGCGACTGATCAAACCGGCGATGGATTGGTGCACAGGCAAAAGAGAGCGTAACTGGGCAAGAGCCACTCGAGCGCTACGTATTCCATATGAGATTCTGTGCACATTGGACCCTACGGCTCGCACCTCCCCGACACGTTGACACTTGGCAGTGGCTCGAAAAACCGGTACCAAAATGGAACCCTGGTAAGTGGAAACATGGACCAAAACCTGCGTAACACCTCCGGGTTGATTTTGAGCCACACCCACTTGGCGCCTTCGCCAGGTTTGCATGGGCGGCGGCCTTTGGCGGGCTCTCGCTGCTGGCATGGCGCGCATTCGGCTGGCAGGGCCAGCCGCCTTCGGAGACCTCAGGCCCGCAGCAGCCTCTCGGTGTCTAAATTTTTGGGCCCTAATCATTTTTAGTGAGATGCTAGTTGGAATTCGGGCTTCGCGAAGGTTGGGACACGACTGGGAAATGACCAGAATGATTGTCTCAGTCAGGTTCCTTGCCTGGCACACCAGCCTTTGCCCAGGAAGTTTGCTTCAATGCCAGTCATCCCACAGACAGCTTCGCAGCACAATGGCATCACGTGGCCAGAGATGTGCCTCGTTCTAAAGTGGCCGAGTGGTTGCGCTGTGGCGCTGCTTTGCGCCTAGGACGCTGCCAGGAACCGAGACCATGACCTTCATGATCGTGGGTTGGGGCCTTCAGAGCCGCGGGCTGCGGCTGTTGCGTCGGATGCAAATTGAGGTGACTGGGGCGGACTGGATGGCTACATCCAGCCCCCCAACGGCTCGCCCAGGACTGCACCGCGATTTGGGATGCGATGGAGCCAAAGACGTGCGGCCGCAGAGCCGGGTCAGAGTGATGTGCAAAAACGCATTGGGCGTGTTGGATGCGTTGACGCCAGGATGGTCCAGTACAGCGGTGGCGAGCAGCCAGGGCCACACGTCTTCGCGCACCGGCCTGGCGGGTGCACGGATGGCGAGATGCCGCATGGCCATATTTCGGCTTATTTTGGGGGGGGGGGGGGGGTGCCCTGGGACAAACAAGCAAGCAAGTGTGGAGGAAGACCGCATTGGGCACAGCAACGGCAAAGCGCATGAAATCATGCAGCGATGGGCGACAGTGCTGGCACTGCCTTTTGTGCTTGCAGACCTCTTCGCAAAAGTGCGAGAACGTGTAGCAGCAATAGTAAGAGCAGCGGGGGAAACAATAGCCGCAGTAGTGGCAGTGACGCTAGTATCGCACGTAGGTGCTGCGCAAAAGCTACAGTCGTGAACTAGTAGCAGTTCAGCCCTCGGCGTTGCTCTCCAATTGCTGCATCGCGGGATGTTTTCAGGGGCTTTCTGCGATTTTCGAGACTTTGTCGCAAAGCACATGCCCAAGGAAGGAGGGTGAACACAGAACCAAAGTTGAGCTTTTGCGGTTTTGTTTTCCCTTACGCGCGGTTTGAGGTCAGTATGCTTCAACGTCCGTGGTGGCAACGGCTGCTTGCCCACTTGCGGCTATAATGATGAAGCGGATTTCAAACCAGCAATCCGTGTGGCAGATCAAATGAAGCTGCTTGGCTTCAAATGGCTGTGCACGAGGTGCGACACGTTGAGCACGACAACTGAGACTACTAGCTGTTTTTGTGTTTTCAAATCGTGCGCGCGCTTTTCAGTGTTGTCCAGGGCTCCAGCAGGGGTTGGCACTTAGGTTGCGCGCTGAGAAAACGAAGCCAAAATTTGTGCTCAATGCAGGGGGCTTAGCACGGTCAAAGTCCTGGAGGCGGCTGGATTTCCCGGGAAGACTTGCGCAGGTCGGCGACAACTTCTACTGGGGAGGCATCCCTTTGGGCTGCGGTGAGGTTCCTTTGGCGGGGATACACTATGTCACAGGCCACATGCCGCTTGGCCACTGGGGACATTTGTGCCGGTGCGAGAACAGGCTGTTCGTAGTGCGCCTGTGGCCTGGCTAGTGAGATGCGGAGGACACCTTGTAGACTGCTTTTGAACGGCGCACTTGTTCTTTCCGTCCTGTGTGAGAGACGTGCGAGTCCTTGCCACCCAGCTGGCTGTAAAAGTGCGTTTTGGGACCCTTGTTGGCGGAAGGGATGGCCTGTGCAGTGGACGAAACTTCATCAAAACATTCTCACCAGTCCAGGCCAAACTGCGCGGTCGGCACCTAGGGATCCGGCCCAAGGTTCGACACGATTTACAACCAAATCTACAACTCAAGAGAGCTGCTGGACCTCCCGTGGCTGAGTGTGCTGGGGAGTCTTGACGCCAATCCTGACTGACTTTGAGTTGAGTTGCGGCACGTTGGCGCTGCAAGTAACGTGCGGCTCAAAATGAGTTGAGTTGCGGCACGTTGGCGCTGCAAGCAACGTGCAATGTGAGGAACCACGACTATGGGGGGTGGACATATGCATCCGCCTGGGACCAACAGCGGCTCGGAGATAACCGTCGCTTTGTCCAGTGCACCGCGGTGCCCGAGCCCAGGATTGCCTACACCTGGCATAGTCCCAGGCGCCAGATTTGAAGTGGAAAGCACCGCCGCTGGCCTGTGCTCGTGAGGTTTTGTCAAGTGCAGGTGGAGGCTACCTGCGCAGTATTGGCATCAGCACGTGGCCTGGCAAGGTATGCATGGTGCAGAGAGCCCATCAACCAATGGCAACACGGCATTGCGGCATTCGTCCGCGAACAGGTTGACTTCAGCGACAAGGGCTTTGACATGGACATTTTCCTCTTGGATTCCAACAATGAGGCCAGACAGTTTTAGTGCTTTGTACTCATCCTAAACTCACTTTGAACTCACCCTTATCCACCCCACCACCTCAAAGTCTCACCTAAATCACACCCTGAAGCAACCCTAAACCACCCTAAGCCCCACCAACATCCATCCACAACACAATCAAAACAAAGCCACAACCAACCCCAAGCCACGTCTAGTCCACCCGAACAAAATCAGAATTTGGAAATTCATAGCCAAGCCCCAAGCCAATTTCCCACTGGCACGGGTGTGATTTGTAGAATCTAGTTGTGTTCCCATTTCGTGGCTCCCCTGTGTGAATTGGCCAAAGAGCTGACGAGTTTTGCTGTGTGTCTGTGTGTGTGTGTGGGTGCGCGTGTGTGTGTGTGTGTGTGTGGGTGGGTGCGTGCGTGCGTGGGTGGGTGGGTGCGTGCGTGCGTGCGTGCGTGCGTGCGTGCGTGGGTGTGTGTGTGTGTGTGTGTGGGTGCGTGAGTGCGTGCGTGCATGCGTGCGTGCGTGGGTGGGTGGGTGGGTGGGTGGGTGCGTGCGTGCGTGCGTGCGTGCGTGTGTGTGTGTGTGTGGGTGCGTGCGTGATCGTGCGTGCGTGCGTGCGTGCGTGCGTGCGTGCGTGCGTGCGTGATCGTGATCGTGATCGTGATCGTGATCGTGATCGTGATCGTGATCGTGATCGTGATCGTGATCGTGATCGTGATCGTGATCGTGATCGTGATCGTGATCGTGATCGTGATCGTGATCGTGATCGTGATCGTGATCGTGATCGTGATCGTGCGTGCGTGCGTGCGTGCGTGCGTGCGTGCGTGCGTGCGTGCGTGCGTGCGTGCGTGCGTGCGTGCGTGCGTGCGTGCGTGCGTGCGTGCGTGCGTGCGTGCGTGCGTGCGTGCGTGCGTGCGTGCGTGCGTGCGTGCGTGCGTGCGTGCGTGCGTGCGTGCGTGCGTGCGTGCGTGCGTGCGTGCGTGCGTGCGTGCGTGCGTGCGTGCGTGCGTGCGTGCGTGCGTGCGTGCGTGCGTGCGTGCGTGCGTGCGTGCGTGCGTGCGTGCGTGCGTGCGTGCGTGCGTGTGTGTGTGTGTGCGTGCGTGTGTGCGCACGCGTGCGTGTGTGGTTGTGTGTGCGTGTGGTGTGGTGCGTGTGTGTGTGCGTGTGTGCGTGTGTGTGTGTGTGTGCGTGTGTGCGTGTGTGCGTGTGTGTGCGTGTGTGCGTGTGTGCGTGTGTGCGTGTGTGCGTGTGTGTGTGTGCGTGTGTGCGTGTGTGCGTGTGTGCGTGTGTGCGTGTGTGCGTGTGTGCGTGTGTGCGTGTGTGCGTGTGTGCGTGTGTGCGTGTGTGCGTGTGTGCGTGTGTGCGTGTGTGCGTGTGTGGGTGTGTGGGTGTGTGTGTGTGTGTGTGTGTGTGTGTGTGCGTGTGCGTGCGTGTGAGTGTCTGTGTCTGTGTCTGTGTCTGTGTCTGTGTCTGTGTCTCTGTCTGTGTCTGTGTCTGTGTCTGTGTGTCTGTGTGTCTGTGTGTCTGTGTGCATGACCTATCTGCGCTGGACTGTCCTTTTGCTGCTGGAGTGAGAGTGCCAGAAAAGTCGAAGCCAATCCTAAGCGCACTCCCGACCTGCCCCCGAACACCCATCCCACCTCACCCTAAATTTGTCCTCACCCAAACGCTAGGGCCATGACGCCGCGGTAGGGCCATGACGCCACACGCAGCAAGACACCTCACGTTGACTTTAAAGTCGTTTCCCGCGCGTCGAAGTGCAGCGCGCAGGATGCATTGCCGCCGTCCGTGCTGCCTTCGAAGATGCTCGGATCGGCAGTGAAGGGTGTGGGTTGCGCATGGACATGGTTCAAGACCAATTGTACCATTTTTGGGATAGGTCCATTCACCTCCCATTCTTGAACCTATTTGAGTGGTTGGATTGGGATGTTCACTGGGGGTACGATTTGGGTTTTGACCCATGGCCTGGGAAAAGGGGCCAGTGGATTCAGATCTTCCATTCTCCAAGTGGCCCAGGAACTTGTGCAGCTATGCGCACAATCCGAAGGGCGCCACTTGCGGCAAGGCTGGCGGCCCCCAGTCGCCGGACGACTGCCACGGGCCCAGCTTTGCGTTAGAGGCGGATGCCTGCAAGCCCCTTGAGCGCTTGAGGCCCTGGCTACTTTGGGAAACTTTGGCAGGAGGGCTGCAAACTGCACACATTTGGTGTGCTTGAACAAGATCAGAATGATCAGACTTAGACAAAGCTTGCAAATTGCCAAATTACATCCACGTACGTACATTGCGCCCACCAGACCTGATTCGACCTTGTAGCCATTCGCAATAGGGTGGTGTTCCTTTCAGACTGGTGTGGCTTCATGTTTGCGGATGGAGGACCAGGTGGAGTGGGTAGAAAAGAAGCTGAAGGAGTCGACTGCCACATGGCAGCTCATTGCGCCCTGGCTTTTTGTTTTTGGCCGTCGGTGTCAGCTTCGAGATCGGTCTCATTCCGGTGGGACGCACCAGGTCACGCACTTCCCATGCGGTCACCAGGCGAGGTGTGCATCCGGCAAGCGCCGCCTGTGACTCCCGTTGCGCCAGGCTCCCTGGTACGAGAAGCTGCGCCTGGGCGAGCAATTTCGATCAGCAACTCCCCCCCTTCTGATAGCTGAAAGCTCTGAATTCTAATCAAGAGCCGAAAGTGTGTTGCAAGATGCACGGCTGGGTGCTGGCATGTGGTGACGGTGTGGGCAAGATTGACGGCAGGGTGTTAGGGGGCATGCAGTTTGGGATGCTGTCCGGGGGTGTTGTTGTAGGTGCTGGTGACGGTGCGGGCACTTTTTGCGAGATTGACAGGGGGGGTGTCAGGGTGGGGTGCTGTTCGGGGTGCTGGAGGTGTTGGTATTGGGCATGCAGTTGGGGGTGCTGGTGCAGGTGCTGTTTGGGGTGCTGGTCAGGGTGCTGCTTGGGTGCGCTGAAGGTGCTATGGTGGTGGCTGGCAGTGCCTGTTTGGCAACAGTCAGGGTGCTGTTGGCGGTGCTGGTTGCACGGCAGTCAAGGTGCTGTTGTGGGTCCTGGTGCTGTTGCTGCTGTTGGTCAGGTTGCCGTTTGGTGTTCTCAAAATGCTGTGCTGCGGTGGCTGCTGGCTGTGCTTGTTTGGCGATGCCATCAGCGTGCAGTTTTGGGTGCTGATCATTTTGTTCTGCTCCAGGTACGGTTGCGGTTGCTTTTGGTGCTTGTTTGGGGGTCAGGGTGCTGTTGTTGTCTCCCATGCTAGCTGGGGGCTATGCTGGTGTATGTTTTTTGGAAGGCATGACCTTTGCAGTTAATAGCAGGCTTTTCAGGGCCTCGCTCCGCACCAGCCAAGCTGGAAGGACAGACCACAACACAAACCAAGACAAAGCGCGCGCACTTCCCCCCCCCAACACTAGCTGCTTTATGCATTTCTATCGCATTTGCGTGCAATCAATCGCTGGCTTGGGCGGCAGAGGGATTTCTTTTCCATCCGAGGCACGCAGAGTTTGGCCTGGACCTCCTGGTCACAGGCCACACGCACGTGCAGTCCACAAGTCCGCTCGGAGGCGGGGGGCAATTGAAGCATGGAGAGGGACGGCACAGGATGAGAGGCAAGAAACATCTGGCCCCAGTCATGTTGAAGGTTGTTCAATGCTATGTGTGCTCCTGTTGTGAGCAACGTGTCAAGAGACAACCCTTTCTCCATGAAAGATAGATTCCCCAACCAAATGTGGGCGTGCCACCTCAATCAGCCTGCGCCATGCTCTCTGTTTAGAAGGCTTGCAATGCTGCCTGGCTAATTTCCAGCTCTACTGAAAGGCAGTTTAAGCATTTCCTCTGAGCATGTCTTCAAGCAGACTTTGTGCCCATGCTCTGGCAGGCTTGCTTTGCGTCATCTCAGGCGGGGCCAGGTCTTGGAATCAAATCCCCGAAGGCGCTTGGTGAGGTTCTAACCCTTCCTGACTGGATCGATGTACTATTTTGGCTTGCCACGTGCTCACGAGGTTCTTGCCTTGCAGTGGGTGCTTGGAAGTGCCGGCTGTTAGGGGGTGGCGGTGGCATCTTGTCAGACGCCCCGTCCGTCGGAGACTTGAGCAACAGCGCCTTGGCTGCAGCTATTGACATCTCCTCGGTAGATTTCAAGAAGGTGTGAGTTCGCGCGGGCCCTTGGCCATGAGTCCATGAGCATTTTCCGCCGTTTTCAGCGGTGCTTTGGGTGGATTTGGGTGTGATTCCGCCTGGAATCCACTCACTGGTGTTGACATGCCCTGATGGAGGAGTCTAGGAGCTTTCTTTAGCAGTCCTTTTTTGCGCGCTTGAACTCTGTCAGCTCAGAGTCGCTACATTCGCAGCTTGGCGAGCACTAGCCCGCCGTGCAAGGCTACGGCTTCTATGATGCCATGGTCAACAGGCGGGGCTGCGACATGCTTGCAATTGACCGGAAGGAAGGGAAGCTTTCGGCTTGATGCTGACCCTATTCGCCACGCTTGTTAGGACACACTTGGTCCTGGAGTCGATCAACTTCAAAGGCGCGGCTGCATGCCATGGGAAGTACTTGCTGCAACTTGTGCGCCGTCGATCTAAGGTTCCATTAAAACCAACAACACAGAGTACCCTGAAAAAAAACACCCATACGGTGCGAGTGCGTTTTTATCCGCTGGTGCAAGGCAATTCTTTAGGCACCTGGGTGGCATATGCCTCCTCGGCTGACCGGCCCGCCCGGCATGAGGCGGGAGAACAGGCAGGTCATGTGTCGGCCTTCGGGTGGGTGGGCTTGCAGGTCGTCGGGCAGAAGCCGGAGACGCAGGGGGAGCCCCAGAAACATCGGAATCTACCAGAGGCGGAGGAGTATCCACAAGCACACCAGAAGGACAAGCCGGCAACGCAGCAAAATGCGAAGCCGGCAATGCAAGATGAGAAGCCGGGATCGAGTCAAGATGACAAGCCGGCAGTGCAAGATGAGAAGCCAGCAGCGAAGCAAGATGACAAGCCGGCAACGAAGCAAAAGGAGACGTTGGCAGTAAAGCAAGATGACATCTCGGAAGCCAGGGAAGAACAGCCAGCAAAGGCACCTACAGGGTCCCCGCTACTTGGCTAATTGCATGTAGCAGAGGGATCGCCAAAGCAACGTATCAAGACGGAAAGAGCAACCAAATTTTGAGGGTGTAAATGCACCAGTTGCAACTCACGGACCACTGACTTTTACAGGTGTCCGATGGGGATATTCTGCACGCAAAAATTCAACTGGGATAATGAAGCCCTGGCTTTTCAATACAAGGGATTGCAGCATGCAAGGTGAAAGCTTTTGCCTGTGTTGATGGACGCCTGGTGCATGCTGCGGTTGACAGGCTGTCGTCAAGGAAGTTCACAAACGCTTTTTGACAGCTGTTGAACGATGTAAGCTTGGGGAGCAAAGTTTATCTTCTTAGAGCCTTTTTTAGGTGCTTTCTTCTAACAAAAAGTGCACAGTGGCATACACGCTCCAAGCTCCCAGGCAGCTGCAAGCAACCCAAGAGTGGCTTGTTTGCAACTTGGAAATGGGTGAGATTGACCTGCTGCAAAAGGTCAATGGCAGTTGATCGCGTGCATTGGATGTCAGCTTCAGGACCTGTGGTGTTTGGTGCCAACTTCTGAGATGAGGGCAGGCAGGCGAGGCCCGCCTTCAGTGAGGTTATTCATCTTCCTTCAGGCCGTGTGGCCGGGCAGGAACTGCCCTTCCGGCATTTGCTTTCTGCATATCTCATGGACTTCTTGCCCGTGCCGAGCCGGGACTCGCAAATGACTTCCCTGTTCCTCGGCGCTTGCAGCAAAGCTGAGCAGCCGATGCGCTTGCTAAGCAAGCCAGGGCTTGGTCATTAGTTAGGGCACTGGCACGGTGACGTGTGGGGGGTTGCCGGGTTTTCACCCGCCAAGCTGCGAGCCGCCGGACCCCACGCCTCATGTCCGCGCAGTGCGAAGCGAGGATTCGGTCGAATGAAAGCGGCCAGCTGTGTTTGCTCAGATTGTGCCAGTGTTTCATATGTCATGCCGCGCCTTCCGCACATGTTTGCCTTGTTTGCCAGAGCTGTCGGCTTGTGGCTTGTCAGGCTTTGCTGGGGCGGTATGGCTTGGACTTCAGCCGCTGTGTGGAGAAGGTCGACCTCAAGGTGGCCTGTTTGGGGTGGCAAGGCTTGAGTGCTCGGCGGGCGGGACCCAGCTTGCCATTATGCAAGCAGCTTTGGCTTTGGCCAATCAGAGGTTGAGACAGCAAAAGCAGAGGCTCAGGCAGCCAACACAGGTCAGAATGGTGGAAGCAGGTGAACAACACGATGAAGGCCAAAAGCGCCATGCTTTTAAGTAACCTAAGGTTTGATAGCACCGCCATGTGCGGGTCGCACGTCGCATGACCACTGAGTTCAGCGACCAGCTTGCTTTTGACAATGACTTGGATGTTCGGCGGGCGGCCAAGGAATTGCATGTTTCGAAGAGCTGCAGCGAACATGAGAAGCCAGCGTCTACACCTGTGACAGAAGACGAGGGGGTCTTTGAGATCCGCGACTTCTCCAACGTCTCGGACTTCGAGCGCTGGTCGCACCAGATTTCGCTGGCCGCCAAGCGTTGGGGCGCTGCGCTTCAGGCAGCCGAGTCGAGCGATGATGTGTTGCAGATGCGGGAGTGCTTCGAGCAAGGCAACTTTCAATACGAGCTTTTATTTCAATTGGTGCCGCTTGCGGAGACAAAGAAGGAGGATCGGCTGGGCCTCCACGCCTTTCCAACCAGAGCCCATCGATTGCAGAGATGGTTTGGGGTGAGGCACTTTGTGATCATCAGCATAAACAAGCACAACATTGACGTCGATAGTGCAAGAACGCTTCTGGGAGCAGCTGCTATTGCCGTCTCTGGTGCCAAACTCCCCCTGCCACTCAGCTGTTTCGTTCCGGTGGAGGGGGGGCGGAAGCGAGTTTTAGGGGAGGCGCTCCAGGGCAACCGCACCATTTACTCCACAGACCTGCAGAACACTGTGCAGCCATGCTTGGAGCACCTCGCCGGCCTGGCAGACTTTTTCCAGAAGAAGGTGCAAGCGGGGGCGGATAAGAAGCACACTATGATGGTTGGTGCCCGGTTCACGTACTCGGCCGACCACTTTGAGCTGTGGCAACAGCGCTTTCGGGAGAAATTCAGCGTGGAGGCACATGAACATATGGCTGACCCAGTTGAGTCTCTCAAGCTCCATTGCCTGTGGCCGGCCTTTCCCTTTGGTGCCTTCGTGGATGATGCTCACTACTCTGAGCTGGATCCCCGGACGGCGCCCTACTGGAAGCTCCGCGTGCTCCGCCGCGATTCCTCCGCCCCGCTGACCCAGCGGCTGCGCGCACTGCTGAGCTTCCGCCGAGAGGCCTGCACCATTCGGTCCGCAGAGCATAGCATACAGATGCATGCGCCGCGGACGGCCATGGGCTCCTTGACCGCTGCCATTCAGGAGTCTTTGGAGTCAATCCTTTTGCCCACAGATGGAGAAATGCAGATGATGGTCGAAGCCTGCATGGAGTCCTCAGTGGTGCCAACGGCTGAGAGCCCCCCACCGGCTTTGAGGGGTTTGAAGGGTGGGCGCTGTGGAGGTCGCTTGGTTCGCATTGCCGAGCTCTCTGCCACCATGCGCTGCTTCAAAGGCTCGGTGATGCTGTGGTGTAACGTCCTCGCGCGCATGCGGACCCAGTGGGATGCTTTGGAGGCACCCGGCTCGGTCGCGCCGCCCACCGCCCGGATCAGCGCCAGAGGCACCCGGACAGAGTTCTTCGACGCCAGCATGTGCCTGGCGCAGCAGAAGATGGAGCTCTTGCAGTGCAGCGTGGCGGCGTGCCGGACCCGGGCGGACCCGGACGCGGACGCGGGCGCGGACGCGGAGAAGACGGAGCTAGAGACGGAGGGGCGCGGCTCCATGAGGCCCCCGAGCCTGGCGGCGCCGCCGTTGCTCACGGAGGATGTGCTGCTGCAGCGGGACACGGCGGCCGCGAGTTTGACGGCAGCGGAGGTGGCGGAGTTGGACGGCCGCGAGATGCGCAGCGACATGGCAGCCTTCCGGGCCGCCAACCCGGGCGCGGCGCTGACGGACTTCCTCCAATGGCGGCAGAACGTGGAGGGCCTAAGCTTGAAGTTCCCAGAGGATTGGCTCCAGAGCCTGTGGAATGAGCCGCCATGCTGGAGCAAGCTCTTTGAGCCGGAGCGGGAAGCTGAGATGGCCTTGCACTACTTGGAGAGCATTGAGGGCACGCAGTTGCTGCTCCAGCTCTTTAGAGTATTGCTCCGTAGCACACTGGAAGATCTCAGTGCCCACATCGCAGCAACTGGGGGTGGGCCTGCCTACATCCGCATGCTTAGGGACCGAGTCATCTCTGCTGCTGTGTGTGCCTTCAGCTGGCGGGGCAATCAGAAAATGGCTTCAGAGGAGGTCGACGTCGAGGCCACTTTGATGGGTGAAGTGGCAGACTTCCCGGAAGAGGAGTATCTGCAGGGCGTCCTTGCCGCGCTGGAGGTGCTGGAGTCTTCCATGAGGCTGGCAGCATCCCTTCGAGCCAAGCTGGGTGGCCAAGCTGAGGGCCTGCTGGAAGAACTCCTCACTGAGGGGGAAGCGGATGTCACCGCGGACGATCAGCGCGAAGTCATCGAGATGCTCTTTGACAGCAGCCGGCACTTGGCACGGGATGAGATCCACTCCTCGGTGCCTTTGGCCATTTTCGACACCTTGCCTTTGGCCAAAGAGTTCGTACTGCAACTGCAGCCTGCCGCTGGTGAGCAGAAATGTATGCGCAGACTGTATGCAGAGGTGCGGGAGGACCACACGAGACTGGCCGTGGTGCGCGAGCTTGCATTTTGGTGAGCGGGAAGGATGTCGTACAGATCCCTTCGTCTCTCCATGTGGCAGGTAGCTCCTCGGGCCACATGGCCACGAACGTGTTTCTGATTGAATGATTGGAGTTTCACCCGCGAGTCAACCAAAAGCAAACTGCGCGATTCCAGGATGATCTGAGCCCAGCTACACCATGCAGTCCTAAGCCTAATTTCGCTCCCCCTGTCGTTTCATGAGGAGCTTTGGCAGTGCTTTAGTCGGCTGCGGCGCCAGCCTTTGGCTGTACTGCAGGCAGGGAGCTTCTGAGAAGCTGTGCAGGTCAGCTGCTTTCTCTCCGCTTCCCAAAGCCAACTTCTCTCAAGCCATTCCCCTGCAATCGTTTTGCGATCCAAGCGGGGCAGGGGCAAACTTGAAGGAAGTCTGTTGGTGACCATTCCACGCAACAAAGTTTGCAGCTCATTGGTGACTCAGTGTGGAGCTCCTTTGAGGAGACGGGGCGGGGGATTTCGAGGGCAACCTGCCAGGCCGAGGTGGCACGTTTCATGGCGGCGCCTGGGGATGCTGGGCGCTTGCGCTTTTTTTTGAGACCCTGGACCTGAAGGGTCCGCTGGACGTGCATCTGAGGCCGACTCTTGCGCACGCTTGCTGGCTGAGGCGCCAAGGGGATGGAGGTGTCGAGGCGCCAAAGATCACGTCTGCCGAACTTCAGGTGCAGATGCAACTGCAGAACTCGACATCATGCCCGGTTCCGACGCCGGCGGCTCCAGCGCCACAAGCGAAGGCGTCATAACCCTCTTTGACCTCTACAGTCAGTCGGTCGATGGATTTTGGTTTCCAGGTGCCCGCTGCATCAGCTCCAGCAAGGCCCTCTGTGCCGCAGGCCGGGCTGAGAAGTTGCGAGGATCCTGAGGGTACCTCAAAGAGTCAACACACACACACACACATGTTGCCACTCATGGTGTCTCATCTCATGTGAGTTGTTCAACTTGCAGAGGTCAACAGCCGCGAGCGCGAGGTCTGGGTGCGGATTTTTGCGTGAGCAAGGGCTGTAGGTGGCAAGAGCGCGAGTTGGTCTTGCGGCAGGCGCAGGAGGAAGTGATCCGGATCTTGCCAATGCGGCGGGAGGACGCGTGGGACCTCGTTTGTTTCAAGCTGGGCTTGGGTGTTGCAGCGTTTAAACGTCTCTGGACTGCGAGGTCATTCGTTTCACAAAACGAGTCGTGACACTGCCATCGCTGGCCAGACCTTCCGATCTGCCACGGACTGGGCCTTCGCTGTGCTGAGGGTCGCAGCCTTGGAAACCTCGCGGGTTTCTTGCGACGCCCGGCCGCAGGCCACGCGCGATCCAAGCGCTGTGCAACGCGCGAAGCTTGGGCTTGAGCCGTAGGCCGTGGGCTGGGCGAGCTTGCAGGTAGCTACAGGAGCCTCATGCGCAAGTTGCACCCGGACAAGGCCCTTGCCTTTGCAGTTAAGCCATGCACTGTCATGGAACTTTGTAGCGATTTGTTTGGTAAGGTGGCCAACACGGACGGGGTTGAGAGGACTATCACCCTGATCCGCGAAGCCAAGGTGGCGCACGCACGCGCACGCGCACACACACACACACACAATCATGCAAACAGTTGCAGCCAACATGCTCAAGTCATTTCGATCCGAACCGGCTTTGCCATTCACGCGGAGACCTGACGCAACGCAAGGTGGTATATAGTGTTGACCCCTTGTTTCGTAGACCCCAGTTTATGAAAGTAGGGGGGTGGGGGGGGGTCTTTCCCTTCAATAGTCACTAAACCCAGGGACAGCCATTCATGGGGCCATTCCCTTCGTGCTCAAATTGAGACGGCGTTTCCGCAACGCAACAATCTGGGTTGGTGAGGCGGCATGTGCAACGACCCGCCTGACCGCGGGTCAGGACCTGTGCGAGAAGAGCTTCTCCAGGGTCGTAGCGCCAGCCCCGCCACGCGGCTTGAGGCGTGAAGGACGGTCGGGGAGGAGGGCTGGGCCGGTTTCTTGGCCGCCTTGGCTTTGGCCCAGGTTTTGAGTTTTGGTTTTGGAGTTTTCAACGCGTTCTTCAACATTACTTGTGAAGGTTCTCATATGTCTTGCAGGTACGAGGTTGTGGAGAGCGAAGTGGGCCGCCGTCGCTACAGACTTCGCCTGGCACTAAACCTTGAGCAGTCAACCGGCTGCATGCTACGGGCAATGTTTGTCGACCGAGGCTGGTTGCCGCCAGAGGGGCGCTGCTGGCTCGTTTCCGTTTTGACAGGGACAGAGGGTTCGTAGAAAATTAACTGCGCCAGGACTGCATCAGCTCCTGTTTGCAGGCGAGCACGGCCATGTTGCGAGGGTCGGCCGGGGGGGGGGGGTTTGAGGGGCACGGGTCCAGCTAACAGCTAGCGTTGATCGCGTGCAATGCCGCAGCACCTTGGAATCAGGGGCACTTGAACAGCTTGCACATGCGCAACCTTTGACTTGATGTGCAACCGCCCGGCCTGGACCCACTTTTTTTTTTGGTAAAAAAACAAGCGAGAACAGTGCCGAACGTCGACTGTGCTTAGACTGTCACGGACTGATTTCACTGATGGCCCGTGTGCCGACGTGGGTCATGCTGTGCCTGCCCGTCGCCTTCCTTGGTCCTCGGACGCCCCAAGCCGCCTCAGAGGCCTGCATCCCAGGAGTGAAACGCCATCTCCGAGCCGTCAGTTGGGCCAAAAAGAAGCCTCAAGCGGGAGACGTTTTGGCCTGGTCCCATATTTGGGTTTTCCCAAGTATTTGTGTACCAGAGGTGGCAGAAGGGCGATTTCCAACAAGTTATGACAACGTAGCAGGGCCAAGATGATTCGAACCGGAGTATCAAAAGTCAGTACCCGCTAGGACTGGGAGGTGGAAGTCCGCTTGGACAGTGGCCAGTTGTCATCAAAGACGATGCTGGCGGCAGCCGAAGCATTGAATGCTACTGGCTTTGCCGTGTTGCGCGGGTCGATTTTCTCGGAGAAAGACTTGGATGAAGCCCAGGCGGTCGCAGAAGCCGAGTTGGAGCGCGTGAAAGATGCAGCAGCGCGGCTCAATCTTCTAGGGCGAGCGCCGTGGCTCAGAGGCTCCTACTCTGCAGGCAAGCTGTTTGAGTTCCAAGAGGCGCTATGCTATTCAGAGGGCCGCCTGGACATGCCTGGGCTCCTGGAGCACCCATTGCTGTCGGCCTGGCGGGGGCACCCGGGCCTCCGCGGGGTTGCAGAGCGGTGCTTCGGGCGCGGCTGCGAGCAGACGGTGCTGGGGGCGCTGTGGAACTTCCCTGGCTCTGGGCCCCCAGTGTGGCACCGGGACGGCGACGCGGACCTCTTGGTGGCCGTCACAGCCGCCCGGGACTACCCGGAGGCTGTGGGCTTCATCCACGGGCAGCCGAAGAGCCATCGAATCGCGTCAAACAGCGCTGCGCCGCCGAACCCCGAGCTGGGAGAAGTGGATGTTCCCCTGCCCCTGCAACGCGGGGACACGCTGCTCTTCTATTACAGCACCAAGCACGCAGCCACACCCAACCTGAGCAACTTGGACCGTTGCCTGCTCTACGGCGTATATGGGCCTCAAGGTACCCGAGATCAGCAGTCAGCAGAAGAAGCAGCTCATCTGGATGTTTTCTACCGTCGTCAGGGCTACTTTGCCGCACGGTCAGGTCTTCAGCCTGAGCCGGTCTTGTCCGCCGTGCCGGCCGTGGCAGCCTTGACAGTCTTGGCTGGTGCTGTTTGCTTGTTGACCATTCGTTGACAAAAGATGGCAAGAGCTGGGGGAGAGAATGTTTGCATTGCTTGAACTTTTGCTGCGGCAGATCGTCACGGAAAATGTCATTCTTGGCAGGTATCTTGTGGCCGCGCTGGATCCTGCATATGGGCCTGCTGCCTCAGGTGCTAGAGGGAGATGAATGAACACAGAGAGAGCTCCCTAAGGAAGGCGCTCACCATCACCATCTTGGAGCCGGATTATAGCGAGGCCACACCAGCGTGCGCAGTGATTGGTCTACTGAGAGCCAAAAAACGGTCAACTGAGGAGCTGAAGCGATTCGTGTCAGTGGATGAGCTGACAAGCTTCGTTCTGGCTGCCCAAACCCCAGTCTGTTTACGTCACTGTGTTGCTTGGAAGTCTAATGTCGGGGGTGAGAGTGGCAGGGAAGATAAAGTTGTGCTGTCCCGCCGTATCCTCTATTCACGCATCTTTGCTTGCTCCACCTCCCAAAGTTGCGCCATGGGGCTGGAGATGAGGAATTTCACCCGCATGCCATTTTGTTTTATTATTATTTTGGGGGTAGACGAGCAAATTGTTAAGGATAAGACCGCCGGAGCGAGAAGCAGACACTGTGACACTTGGATATTATCTCGTTGTTTGTTCTTGATTGGATGGTCAAGGATGCTGGTGATCGCCGCTGCCCAAATTTGAGGTGGCAGTTGGTTGGGTGTGTTGGTCGGTCGGTCGGTCGGTCGGTCGGTCGGTCGGTCGGTCGGTCGGTCGGTCGGTCGGTCGGTCGGTCGGTCGGTGCGTTGGTTGGTTGGTTGGTTGGTTGGTTGGTTGGTTGGTTGGTTGGTTGGTTGGTTGGTTGGTTGGTTGGTTGGTTGGTTTGCTGTGTTGGGTGTGTTGGGTGTGATGGTTGCTGCTGCCAACAGCAGCCGGCGCCGCAAGCCTGATGGACTTGAGTCTCATGTCTCGCAGCATCTCGGTGCAAACGGTGCGTCGCCACAGTTGCAGCGTTTGAGAGCAGCTCGGCATAACCAGAGCTGGCCGCGACATGCCGCGTTTGCAGATTTGTGGTGGGAAGGTCGTGATGTTTTCCTTGCTTGGCTTGTTTGAAGTGTCGAGGGTGATACCTGGCCCAAAAAGGCGGGCCATAGCGGCAGCATTGGGCGGGGTACATTTCGAGGTGTTCGGGATTCCCATGGCCTGAGGCAATGATGTCTCTTTGGTCTCGGCAGGCCTGGTAGTTTCTTTTCACCTTCATGCTGCATGTTTCTGGCCTGCACAGAAGACGGCGACTGCAACAAAGCCCGCTTCAACGCGGTGGACAAGGCGCAATGACTTCCCTTGAGCCAAATCCAGTGTTTCAGGGTGTGTTGGAGTACTGCTCACTTCTGAGTGGTCTCTCTTTTGTTTTTTTCAAATTCTTCTCGTTTTTAACGAGGGGCAGGGAATCTTGTTTTGTCTGCTTTTCAGGCTAGCCCTTCCTGCAGACGACGAGGTGTCAAGACTGTCAACCAGGCCTTTCTGAGCTTCAGACATTGGGGGCCGTTTCGGGGGGGGGGACGCGCATGCGCGTGCCAGGTCTGGAACAACATCACCCGGCTCCTCGCGCAGGTCGTCCGAAGTTTCCATGGCAGTACCCCAGCCAGGCGCCACTCGTGACATTTGGCTGGTCAAAACCAATGGCATCCCATTTTGGGGTAGGCGCCACCCATTTTAGGACCTATTTTAGGGGGCTAACCGGGAGTTCGACCCGTGGCCAACCCCCGTGGGCTGGGAGCCAGGTGCATCCAAGATGATCTCGCCACTTGTCGCATTTGCCAAGATGGCAAGGGTACCCATCGCTGGTCGCCGCCGTTTCGCCGTTTCGCCATCGGCTTTTCTTTTTTTGTTTTGGGGGCTGGGGGTTGAGAGGTTCAGTCGTAGGTGCGAGAAGCTTTGGCGCTGCTCCCCGGGCTGCGGCCCGCACTGCTGCGGGGCCATCCCCGAGGCGCTGCAGGAGAAGCGCGCGGCTCTGCCCCAAAAAGCGCCTCGGGAGGCCGCTTTTTTCTCCCGACCGCCGGGAAAAACGCTGGGGGACGTGGTTGGTTTCAGTGGGCCGGGTTGGGTTTTTGATGTGGGCCATCTCTTTGTTTCATGGGGCCAAGAGCATGTGGGAAACGAAGGCGCTCTCGAGACATCGGTTGGACACGCCCAGACCATGCACCTGTGACATTGGTGGGCTTGATTTTCCACAAAGCTGTGTGCTTTATATATAACGTCCCAGCCGCAAAATCTGGATCGCAACAGAGTAACTTTTTGCTAAGCAGCCGTTGATCTCGGCGGCCCCAGCCAAAAAATGCCTCCCCTCCATCTGGCATGCCCTGTGAGACTTTCGTGTGGGTGTGCGGGTCAACACGGTCGGGCGTGCTCTGAATGCGCCAAGGCACCACGACTCCAATTGTGACTCCTGAATTCTTCGCTGGGGCATCCAGCCCCGCTGCACAGAGCAATGCCCTGTAACGGCACAAGCTACCAGGCAGCCCAGCCAAAGGCTGCCCCAGGCTGCCAAGCCCATCGCCCGGCACCAGCAAAGCGCGTTCGGGACACGGGCTCGCCCGTCTGGGGCGGCATTCTCTTGTGAATCAGTGCATGGTCCAACAGATGTATGATCCAAAGGGCACCCAGTTTTTTCGGGAATGGCCCCTCATGTGCATTCGCAAGTTTTCCCAGACTCCATGCACTGATGTTTTGATTGACTTGTACCACGTTCTGAAAACTGTATGCAAAAGCTACAGAATTCATGAGCCGGACTGCTGTTCAGGGTCCAGCCTCCAGCTGGTGTCTGACAATCCCTAGTTTTGCAATTGACGCTTTCATTGCCTGTCCCAGGACAAGGTGGTCATTTTGGGCACAAGCCGGCCGCGTGCGGAGTTTGCGCGGCTGCCGCCCTGATCAGTTTTTGGGAGTGAGGAGTGCCGCCCTTCCCACGATCCGTTTGCACGCTTGTTTCGCGCATCTCTTGGGGCCGTCAAGGTGCAGGATCTTTCCAGCGTTTGGTTCTGGACAGGCTAGCGGCATGTGTACAGTGCCCGATGCGACAAAATGAACACCGGACAGGCCACAGCAGGCACGCGCGACCATTTAGGGTTTCTTGTTGTTTGTTGCAGCGGGATTCACTTGTGATTGGGCAATCGATGTTAGCAACGGCTTGGTTCTGCCACTCCGCACATTAGGGTGATTTGTGCATGCAGCCGCCGCGGCATCAAGCGCAGTAGTAAGTCACGCTTGGTAACGCCGAAGGCACATCGGCTGAAGGCTGAGTTCTCGTCCGACGTTTTGTGTTCAGGCAGCAGCACCACGCTTATGGCGGCACCAATGCAGGTGCGGCGTATGGCAGTTGGCCATGGCTCCCAGGGCTGACCGGCCCCGACTTGGGGTCACTTGGTCATCTAATGATAAGCCCGGATGAATAAACCCCTGTTGTGCCCCCAGTTTAGTGGGGAGTCAGACCACTTTTGGAGGGAATACCCCCCTGCAAGGGACGGGTTTATTCATCCTGGGTCAACATTACCGCGCAGACCTCTCATTTCTGCGCAGGCAGATGCCGCCCTCAGCCTCGAGTCGCGCAGGAGCTTGGCGAAGGGGGGCTGACTGTTTGTTTTTGTTTGATGCCCGCCGCAGGCCACGGGTGTCGTCTCTGAACATTGACACCTCGAAAGACTCGGAGAGGGAGCACAGGCGTGGGAGATATGGCAGATGATGTTGACCCCGGACGAGTGAGCCCCAGTTGAGTGCTATAGGGGCCTCCTTGGTTTTAGTGGGGATTCATAACTTTTGGAGGGGAGCACCCGGGGTCAACATTACGGCTGCGGATGCGGATGCGTGCCAAATTTACATTGCAGGGAGGGTGCTGCCAAGGCCTGATTCACCGCAAGCCCGCACCCCTTTGGTTCGAGGCACGGCCGCACGTGAAGTGAGCGCCAAACTTCGAGATTTGAGGGAGCTTGTGCGCAGGAAAGCGTATGACAGCGCGCCTTGGATGATCTGGAGCCTGGGGTTCGCAGGCTCGGGCTCGTCTCGAGCTGAGGGCGGCAAAGTTGTGGAGATGCTCTGCATTCTGTGGGCCTCACTGCTGCGGAGAGATTCCCGACTCTCTGCTCTTGTCGCCCACCGCCGGGTCCTCGCGCTTTGCGCCTCGTGCCTCGCGCTTTGCGCCTCGTGCCTCGCGCCTCGCCGTGCTAAGGGTGCAAGCCGCCGCTTGAGCATTTGAAGGTGCGGATTCCTGATTTCTGATGTCATCGGTTTCACAGACCATGCATGGGCACTGAAATGACGAGGCCTTCCCAGGCTCAGCAAGCAGTGGCTTGCTAGTGCATGACATGGAGATGCGAAGCACGCGGTACTTCGCGCCACCACAACAATCCATAGCAGCTAGCATGGACCAGAGACATGACAACCAGGTTTCTCTTGAATCTACATTCCACCTTTCAACCAAAGGCTCAGGCAGCGCCAGTGGGCAAGCAACAGGCTTTCATGGTTGCTGTCAAAGTCAGATACCTGGGAAGGCAGTCGAAGCCAGAAAGCGGTAGTTTAGTTGCCGATGCAGTGGCCTGGCCTGGTAGTGGTCAGCACCTGATCGATTTCAAAGCTTTGTCAGATTGCTTACAGGCTGTTTCTGATTTCTCCTAGTTTCAAGAGGTCGTGGAACGCCTTCGCGACCTGCTTTGATTGCCAAGTCATTTTCCGCTCTAGACGGCTGGCGCAGCCAGCTCCCCACTCGTGTTTCCCTGCGCGGAGGTTCCAGAAAACCTGGAAGTCTTGTCGTGAGTCACAACTCTCAGCCACACAGCCTTTGGCAAGAGGGCAGGCACTCACACAATCATACAAGCACTGCTGCAGTGAACATGCTACACACGGCAACCAACGCTTCCACCATTGGTTGCTATCAGTTGTGCTGGGAGTGCTGAGGGGGAGGGGGTGGGCGCGGCATCGCCGGTCTTGCATGAATTGAAAAACGCATCTTATGTGTTGGCATGGGGGCTTCTGCCTTGGTGTCACCATTTGGCGAAGCCTTTGCTTCTGTCGGTTGCTCTAGCCAGGAGGTGCCTTGGTTCACACTCAAGGGATGCGTGTATCTCACTACGCGTGCAGGGTTTGAGTTTATGTTCATTTTGTAGCATCACATGTGCAATTGCTGCTTGACGGAGTATACAGCATTCCTGCATTCTTTGGCTGCCAGCAGCCAGGATTGCTGACAAGTTCAAGCAAAGTGGCCGTTTAATCCACTTGGCTTGCGAGTGCAGAGGGAGTGAACCTCGTTTGCGATCGCCTTGAAATTGGCAGATCTGACGGCCTTGCAATTTGCACGGCGAGAGCCTTGGGCTCGT